ATAGATCCTATTGTTTGGATACATCCTATTCATAAAACCTGGTGTTGGGTTCATTCCGGATGCAGGTCTTGGATGGTGCAAGCCCTGTTAATTGAATAAAAAAGTAATCCCATGTACCAATCAGAACATACTGTCAAATATAAACAAATGCAAAAATAGCATCAGTGTGTACATAAAACAAACGAAGATAAATATCAGATACTTACAACGAGATGTGGAAGTGGACGAATATTCTGATTCCTTCCAGAGTGGACATTATTTGCATGTGAGACAGTTGAAGAAAAGGAGCTACTAGTGGCGGGTTTTGGCTGCCCATCAGAAAAAACCGGGCTATCTATCCAGGGTACTGGAGACCGCATCCCATCATAACCAAATCTTAGGTCCTGGTAGCCGGATGTTGGGATTCCTCCAGACAAAACTCCTCTACAATAAGTATTGTTCAAATTCAAAGTTGAGTTCTGGTTTGTTGGTTTCAATGGTGCAGAGCCATTATTAGCATTGGAATTTCCATTTGTAACACCATTAGCCTTTTCCTTTGTTGTTTCTACAGTCAAAGGTGCCTGATCAGCAGCTACAGAGGTGGAAAGCTCCCCCTGAGAAGATGTCTGACTAGAGGGGTATGGCCCACCAGGTGGAGGAGTCGGTGGCTGGTAATAAGGACTAGGATACTGATAATGTTGAGGACCATACAGCTGACCATCATGCCCCATGGTGGGAACTGGAGAACCTGCTGGAGGGTACGCACCATAAGGTGCATATCCATAACCATGGTGATATATAAGAGAGCCATTATCCCCATAAACTCCCTGCCAACCAGAAACAACATCATCAAAACCAACACTTAACATAGTACCCAAATCACAACATTGAAATAATCTCTTCTGATTCTTCTGACAGAAAAAAAAAAACAGAATCAGTGGAGACCCTTGGATGTTGGCACAATTAAAAGGATTTTATTCCAAAACGGAATGAAATATAAATTGAATAGCAACATATATAAGCAATGCTGAAACGAAAACTTACAGTTGACATCTCTACCCCATCAGGATTTACGAATCTAGGGTAATCGTCCCACTCATTGATGTGCCCATCATAACCTGAACATCAAACATCTATATAGTCATAAAAACAAAACCAACATTTGCAGTAATTTATAAGTAGACACATTCATAAAGAAACCAGCACAAATTAGCAAACCTCCATAATAATAGGCAGTAGATGCATAGCCATTAGGAAGATAGCACATTGATGGATCCATGAAATCTTGAAGTAGAGGAGTTGTAGATCGTTCACATGACTGGACAGGACCATTGGGTGCTTCAGCAGTTTCAACAGACCCATACTGAATAGTAAAAGGCTGTGGGAAAAAATTAATAACAAAGAGATGCAATGGAAAACATAGGAGAATAATAGCAGCTGGAAGAGAATACAAGATTCTCTTTCAAACCATTATATAAAAAAATGTGTTACCTTTTTCGTGGCCTCAGGAACTTCAATATTTTTGGTCTGAGAATCTATTGACAACTTCTGCAGTAAATCTGCAGCTTCTGTAATATTATTGGTAAAGGAAACAACTAGTAACGGAATTCATAATTGGTCGTGTTTGGAACTCTTTCAAAATGAATTCGTAATTCATCCGTATGCTTAAAGCAACTCTATCTATATTTTACTGAAGTCGCTGTATTTTGTCAATTTTACATTGGGAATTTGAGAATTGAGGTTCCAACAGTTAAGAAAAGTTTCCCTTCTGTCCAATAAAGTAACGTTATGAAAATTTTTTCTGCAACTTGTTCCCCACACACCCACGAGTATGTGAGAATGGAAAAAATAGATTTGTGAGAACCTACCAAATCATGTAGTAACGGTAATGAATATTTCATAATAATTTTAAGGTAGCCTTCCTTCAAAATGAGAATAGTAATCATAAGCTATAAGAAAATCGACCAGCCACCCTTTTGATTCCCCACCAAATCTCCAAAGTAATTAGTAGCATGATAGACCAAAGCAATACCTCACCAAACAAAAAGCCATTTATCCTACCAAGTCCAAATCAAATCAAAACAGCAAAAAGAGAAAGAAGTAAAAAGAAAGGGAATGCATTCTTGATGATCCAAAAGCCAACCAACGCAAAATTATGGGTTTTCTAGAGAGAGTGTACACGAGCAATAACACCAAACGCCAAAAGAAGAGTTAATCCGCTATGAGCAAGAAAACTTCCTCAACGAATAATTTCCGCATAAAAAACAGAACCCAGCATAGATCAATTCCCAAACTTGTAACAAAAGAACTTCAAACTACTCTAAGAATCATGAACTAGCATACATCTTGAAAGCGCTAAAGTTAAACAATATAGTAGAACTGTAGATGTTTTCTAGAAACATGATCCCCAGATCTAAACATAAACCCCTACAAAACCCGCAAACATTGAAACACACAATACTGGAAAATAGGCAGCTAAAAGAGCTTTAAGAAGAAGAAAATTCAAGTCTACGACTGCGAAGAAGAAGATATGGGATAATGAAAGTAAAAAACACTGAACAAATTAAAGCATACCAAGAAACTCAGTATTAAGTAAGGATACGATCCGCAGGTGGAGCAACCGCTGCCATGATCAGATCTTCGGTGGAGACGAGCAAATAGTGGATAAAAGGAGGAGGTAAGAAAACCCTAGAAACGAGTACGAAGATTACGGGATACTGGAGGGGAGAGAGAGAAACCCTAGGAGAGAGAAAAGGGGAGGGTCAGGTCAGCCGCCAAGGGTTTGGGCCTTTGGGAAGAAAGGGTTTTTAAGATGGAAAAGCGGTGATTCAAATAGCACCACGGTTCCGCCTTCAAAACCGGATTTTCTTTTGGCTTTTGGAGTTTGGAGGGTTGCTCTCTCGAAACCCTAATCACAAAAACAAAATGGATTACCGATTATATTAACCACATGGGCGGATGGGCTTAGGTTTGCATTTAAGGCCCTACGCTTACTGGGCTGTGGCTTACTAATTCATTAAAGGCCTATATCTTCATGGGATGTCTCTTTCGATGCCGGTTTGGGCTTAGCTTTTGAGTTTTTGCCAAATTTTGTATGGGCCCGATCCAGAGTCTGAATCCCCGTGAACCTCAACCCAAAGAAGAGAGGGGAAAGAATAAAAGAAAGGAAGAAAAAAATGGGGGATGAAGTGCACATATCCCTTTTTTTTTTTTTTTTG